TTGGGACTCTTTAGCTTCATTATTGGGACTCTTTAGCTTCATTATTGGGACTCTTTAGCTTCATTATTGGGACTCTTTAGCTTCATTATTGGGACTCTTTAGCTTCATTATTGGGACTCTTTAGCTTCATTATTGGGACTCATGTACAGTATTTTTACTGAGCCGCGTCATGCTGAGTTGCGTCAGGTGTGGGACTCATGTACAGTATTTTCACTGGCCGCGTCATGTAAAAAGTTTCAAATGATGCCCAGGTGTGGCTGGACATCCTATTTTTTCCATTCACACTGATGTATTGGAAATTTTTTGAATCTTTGGAAAGTTTCAAACATGATGCCCATGTGCGGCTGGGCAACCCACATTTTAATCATATGAAATTTTAAAATAAGTCTGAAATTTTAAACATGATGCCCAGGTGTGGCTGGGCACCCTGGCAATGGAATTTTCAGCATTGCACTATACCCCTCAAGACTCCTGTGCACCACTTGTTTAGCTACAATATCCAATTACTCCTGCTATCACACACAGCATAAGGTTTGCAAAGCAATGCCCAGGTGTGGGCATTGCTGTGTGGGCACAACCAACACATCACACAAAGTCAAAGCAGAAATAAAAATGTAAAAATTGATTTATTTGATGTAATTCACCAAACATATCCTTGATCAATCACTGAATAAGGTACCTAAACTAGGCAATTAAAGAAGAATTAATGATCACAATAATATTTAATATGATCACATTTGATATATTGGTTTGATTTTGGATATTTGAGTCTGAAGAAAGGCTCCCCAAATCAATCTGCGCCTATCAAGGATCCTTTTGTTGGCGTAACTGAAGTAAACTTTGATTTGAATGTATTGTTATCCCAAACTGTTGGATGTAAATAAAACTCTATAAGAGACTGTACAAGAACGTCTTCTTGCTTCCCAGGTCTCTAAGTTTTATCCAATGATTACTTGTTGAGACAAACCTTGTCGAGAAGTTTTAATCTTATAGCCGGAGTAAAGCAAATGAGACAACTTCTCTATTGATTCAATACATATATTTCTGATGATGCACAACAACAGTCTAGACCAGCAATGAGGGACAAAAGGAGTGTTCCAATCCTCCTTTATAGACACTGTATGCGCGGGAAGGGTTACTGACCACGCAAGACCAGAACAAACAGAAAGTAAACCGAGTCATGTGAATGACCGGTCAAAAATAACACATTCCGGTGCTTGAACTTAAAAGAGTTGCTAGGCGGATCTTACACATGAAACACAGTTCGAGAACGGGGTACTGTTACGCTGTTTGAGGACTCACACTTTATGATGACAGTATTTAGGTCTGAAATCGGTTTTGAATGTGTATGGTGGTTTGCATTAAAATTTGCTCAATTGGGAATTGTATGTAGAGCGGAAAATCTGTCTCTTAGCAACCTTCAATGTATTTTGTGAACTTTAAATCTGGATCCTTCAATGGTATGAAGTTTTTCAACCTGTGCTTCTTGTAATTGTTTGGACTTCTATTCAATTGAAGCAATTTTTTTTACATCAATAAAAATGGACTCCACAGTGTACCCCCCTCTTGGATTTAAAAATAAAATTTTCAAGTTTAAACACCATCGTTTTTAATTTCTTCCCAGACGCACTGACACACAAAGAAAGTAGCATTTAGTAAGGTTGAAAAGTAAAGTACTCCTTCTATTCACAAACACAGACGTATATTCATGAGAGTCAGGGTATAACACACAAGGGTAAGTCAACAGAAAGGGGGAGTTGCTTGGTCAAAGGCTCAGACTGAAGTGGGGATTGTGGAGCTCCTTCCGTAGGCTTCTCCTCCAGTGGTTCTGACGATGGTGCAATGTTGCTCAAGGATTGGGGTGGGGACTTTGGACGTTTACCCTTGCGCCAGTATGGACGCCTAGATGTCGCCCTCTTATTGGAAGGGGCACCCTTACTATTTGAAGTCACTCTTTTGTCTTTGCCAGGGTTGTTGTCCATGTTGGTTCCGAAGCTGTAAGAAAGCAAAGTACACATAGAGGGCAGCACGGGTTGAAAAATGGACGCGCGCATGAACGCGCACAGTGCGTTTAACTGGCATCCCTAAATTACACTAGACCGGAAACAACATCTCATTGAATCATCGAAGGGTGCTGCTGAATACAGCCGAATTCGGGAGTTCAAGTAAACGCACACAGTGTCAAGTCTCTGTTCAACGCAATAGACCAGGCGCAAGATCTTCACAACACCTTTACCCATGACCCACCCACTTGAAATAATCATTGATTACCGTACCTGCATCAATCATGAATCACAAAAAGTAGACGACAACTTCGC